GTGTGCCCCGGTGTGCCCCAACCCCCCCAGGTGCCCCCCAGACCCTCACCGTTGATGAGGTAGGGGTGGTTGCAGCACTTGCGGAGCTCCATCATGGTGTTGAGCAGGTACCACCCACTGCGCCCAGGTGTGCCCAGGTGTGCCCAGGTGTGCCCAGGTGTGCCCCAACCCCCCCAGGTGCCCCCCAGACCCTCACCGTTGATGAGGTAGGGGTGGTTGCAGCACTTGCGGAGCTCCATCATGGTGTTGAGCAGGTTGGGCACGTTGCCGTGCCCCGCCCCCTTGGCCAGGTAGGCGAAGTTCCTCTCGAGGATGGCGCGGTAGAACCTCTTCTGGATGCCCGTGAGCTCCACCTCGATGATGGTCTCCTGCTTGGGCGCCAGGTTCTTCTCCACGTCCTCCTTCAGCCGCCGCAGCATCATCGGCTTCAGCAGCGCCTGCAGCTTCTGCACCTGCACGCAGAGACACACCTGGGCAGGTGAGGGACACGCCCGGGACACACCTGGGACACCTGGGTAACCCCAACACCCCCTGGGATACCCCAACCCCCCTCGGCTTCAGCAGCGCCTGCAGCTTCTGCACCTGCACACAGAGACACACCTGGGCAGGTGAGGGACACGCCCACATCACCTGGGACACACCTGGGTAACCCCAACACCCCCTGGGATACCCCAACCCCCCTCGGCTTCAGCAGCACCTGCAGCTTCTGCACCTGGGCAGGGAACACACCTGGGCAGGTGAGGGACACGCCCACATCACCTGGGACACACCCACCTCACCTGAGATACCTGCAATACCCCCTGGGATACCCCAACCCCCCCCGGCTTCAGCAGTGCCTGCAGCTTCTGCACCTGGGGGAGAAAAACACACCTGGGCAGGTGAGGGACACGCCCACATCACCTAGGACACACCTGGGACACCTGGGTAACCCCAACACCTCCTGAGATACCCCAACCCCCCTCAGCTTCAGCAGCGCCTGCAGCTTCTGCACCTGGGCAGGGAACACACCTGGGCAGGTGAGGGACACACCCACATCACCTGGGACACGCCCACATCACCTGAGATACCTACAATACCCCCTGGGATACCCCAACCCCCCTTGGCTTCAGCAGCGCCTGCAGCTTCTGCACCTGGGCAGGGAACACACCTGGGCAGGTAAGGGACGCACCCACATCACCTGGGACACACCTCGGACACGTCCACATGACCTGGGATCACCCGGGACATACCTGGGATACCCTGACACACCTGGGACACGCCCACATCACCTGGGACACACCTGAGATACCCCGACACGCCTGGGACACACCTATAAACCTGGGACACGCCCACATGATCTGGGACACACCTGAGATACCCCGACACGCCTGGGACACACCTATAAACCTGGGACACGCCCACATGATCTGGG